CAGTAAAGGCAGCCTGAACTGTGTAAGAAAGCCCGAGATTTGACTTGCCCGGTGTGGTGTCAGTGCCTGTAGTCCCAACTACTGGGGAGGCTGAGGCGGGAGGATCACTTGAACCCAGGAATTTGAGGCAGCAGTTATGATGGCACCACTGCACTCCAGCATGGACCACATAGGGAGACCCCTTTTCTAAAAATAAATTTAAAACAAAGCTCTAGACTCTCGGGAAAAATCTGAGTATGAGTGGGGTGCTCTTTTGTGTCACAGTGTAACTGGTCTGGGAACGTCTGCACCCCTGCACTGAAGAAGAGTGTATGTAGGCCAAGAGGAGGCTCACATGGGAGAAGCCACAGACACCCAGGAAGAGCGCTCCAGTGCGTGGGGCAGGCGACGGGGACCCATTGTTGGGACACCTGCAGAGTCACCAGCCTGGATAGATTCCTTCCTCACCTGGTCCCCAAGATGACTAAAGCTTCCTGTGTTTCCAGGGCTCCTGCCTAGAATGCTTCTCCCCTGCCCCATCTCCTTCAGGAAGCATTCCCCCAGCCAGAATCAGGGCTTCTACCGCTTTTGAGCCTGCCTGGACACCAGCACACATCTTGAGACTTGGGGTTAATTATGTCCATTCCAGGACTCCCCTCTGCCTCTTCTCGGAATTGAAACTCTCTGCGAGCACGCAGTGCCCAGGAGTTCTCACGGAGTTGGCGCAGTAGAAGGCGTTTTCTAGGAGTGACTGGGGCGAGTGGTGTGGGCTGGGGGAAGGAGAGTAGAAAAGCTCCTGGGGACTTTTCAGGGGCCAAGCAGCTGTGGGAGTTGGGGGCAGCCTGCCTGGGTCTTCGCTGAAGGCCCTCCGGTTGGGGCTTGGCGGCAGCTCCGCATAGAAAAAGCCAGGTCTGAAGATTAGTGGGTGTGAGGCCCCAGACCTGAAGACCAAGCATCTCGGCATGAGGCCTTTGATGACACATGCCTTGAGGCCAAGGAGCAGCAGAAGGCGCTCGGGCTTGGATCTAGGGTGGAGTGGTCGCCACACCTCCGCGCAGCTCCGCGCAGCCTTGGTTTTGTCTGTCGGCGGCGGTGGTGGCGGCAGCTGCAGCGCGTCTCCCGAGGTGGCTGATGCTGACCAGCTGCGGGCTCCAAGCCGCTCGCCCCTGGCCTGTGGCTCCATTCCTCCCTCCCACACTGACCCAGGGGCACTCGGGTCTCGATGTGTGCCAGGGCAGGCGATCACGTCCACGATTCTCTTGGGCTCCGCGACCCAGATCGCACCCCAATGTGGCGCGCGACTGCGGAGTCAGAAAAGAGGCGGCTACAGAGTCGCCCCAGGGCTCATTCCGTCCTCCCTGGGGCGCCCTTGGCCTCGCTGTGCTTCCTGAAGGAGACGTCAGTCCTCACCTACAGGGCCAAACCTGTCCTTGCCCCTGCCTTTCTTTATCTCTGCCATTTCCGCGGCTCACGCTCGCCCAGGGGAGGAGCACAAGGATTTGCCCCCAGCCTTTGGCACAGAGGAGAACAGGTCCCTCACTCAGCCAAGCCAGGCTCTCCCAGGGCTTGAGGGGAGGGAGGAGGTGGGGAAAAGGAGTCTGAGAACCGCGAGTCCCACAGGAAAGGGGGAGATGGAGGGGGTCTGAGTTCGCATTCCCCGGAACGTCCCAGCCCACAGGGGCCCGGGATGGCTGGGGCGCGCCGAGCCCTTTGTAAGCCCGCGGAGAGGGCTGAAAAGAACTTAAAGACCCGCCAGCCCCAAAGTAACGAAACTAAAATTTTAGTGTCTGAATAGTTCACTCTGCAACACCGTATTCTGAAAGAGAAAATCCCACAAGTGTGCGAGATGGACGGACTCGCCGCCCCGTGCTCCTCCTCGGACTGGACATTCCTCCCTAAACTCCCACTTCCCTCTCACCCCGTTCACAGACTTTTCCTAAGGATGGGAAGGAGGGAGATAAGCACATCTCTGAGATTGTCCTTCTCATCCACCGCCCCAAGGGGGTTATTCTGAGGGTCCAACCTCCCCCCAACACCCCGCCTCCACACACACACACACACACACACACACACACACACTCTCTCTCTCTCTCTCTCTCTCTCTCTCTCTCTCTCTCTCTCTCTCTCTCTCTGTCTCACAGGGTTCAGAGGAATGCCCGGGGCCGGCAATCTCGAGACTAAAGGTCGTTTATTGAGCCAGCGTCGGTTGTGGGGGGCGGTGTCGAGCTGGGGCGGGCCTAGGTGGAGGAACCCGCCGAGTGAGAAGTGGGGTGTAGGGAATGAGACATAAGGTGGGGGTAGAGCTGAGAATGGGAAACCTGAAAGGGGGTGATGCAGGGAGGTGTGAGAAAGAATCCCAAGATGGAAATTGGGATACCTTCCCAAGGGAGTAAAGGTTGGAATGTGGGGATCTCTACAAGGGGAGAGGGCGCAGGACCCCGACATGTCTGCAGGAACAACGAGAGGAATCCGAGAATTTGGGAGACATGAGAGATTGCCTGAGAATGACAGGGAAGGAAAACCGTGGGACCCGCCGGGCAGGGGTGAAGCCTCCAATCCGTAGATCTCCTGGGAAGGACCTAGGGCAGGGAGGGTTCGACATGCGGCTGGGAGGTGCAGCCAGAAGAGACTAATAATGATTGAACACTCACGAGCTTCTGCGCTCCCAACCTGGAGTGCGGTGGGGGGAAGCCTATGTGACAGCTGAGCATCCCCCCATCCCCCCCCCCCGCCCTGCAGCCCATAACTGAGGTTTAATCTCTTAATCTTCATCATTAATCACTCACTCTCCACCTACCCCCCTCGGAGGATCCGGTTTCGCCCCAGCTCGAGTTCCACAGACTTTACTGGGAAAAGCCCCCTTCTGTGGCCCCACAATTGTCTGGACTAGTCCTTGGCTGCCGAGATGACCTTAGCAGGGCCTCTGCTGTCCTGGGCTTCCTTTACTAGTCTCCGCTTCCCTCTCCTCCCCCAAACTCGTATTTGGGGACCGTCCAATCCCAGTACCTGAGCCCAGCTGCAGAGGGGAGAAGGTAGGCGGGAGACATAGAAGGGGAGGAAGGCAAAGGCCCATCAGGAGAGCCCCACACTCCTCACAGACACATGCAAGTAATTGAAAGCAGAGGTAGAGACAGACATGAAAGCCACATAGAGGATGCATGAGTGAAGGTCGCAATGTCTGCTTGGTGACATGCCTGGGATGGGTGGGGCAGTTCCTGCTGTCTCCTGGGAGCTGCTTTAATTGCAGATTAAGTGAAACCACAAGGATGGTTCTAAGGGCTGAGGCCGGCAGCCGGTAGGATCTCTCCAGGTCCTCCCCTGCCCTCACCATTAATAACCAATTAACAAGGTCCTTGGGCAGCTCAGCTTTCCACGTTGGCCTGGCTGTAATGTTTCAACTGGCATTGGTCCATCAGGCTTCGAGTGTGTTGCTCAGGGCACCATGAGGGCACTATGTGAATGTCGGGGTATCTGGGGGATGAGGGGTCGTTAGAGGGAGCCCTTTACCAAGAAGACCCCCACTATCAAGATGCCTTCCCATCCTTGTCAGAGTCTTTGGCCCCAGTGCCTTAGATATCCTAAGCCCTGTTTGGGGCACCCCAACTGCAGGCTTCACTTGCCCCAGAGAATAGATAGGTGGACACAGAAGACCATGGTACAAAATAGTAGGAGATACAGAGGCCTACAGGGCAGACGACATAATGGACAGTTCAGGAAGGACTGGCCTGGTTCTTTGTGGCACTGCTAAAAAAAAATAAGTAACTACAAGCACATCATTTCCCAACTAATGGACTAGCAAGTTCCTTGGGAGTAGCAGGGCTTCTCTGCCTCTGGGCTGTGAATCCTCCAGCTATTTGGGGGTGGGATGTTGGAACAAAACCCGTATCTTGCTGGGCCTCCACTGCTGGACCCTCCAGAGCTGCCTTCTTCCTATGCAGGATGGCTGTGGGGTGCTCGCCCAGGTGTTAGCCCAGGCCCAGAATAAATGTGGGAGAGAAGAAAGACAGGATACAGAGAAAATAGGAATGAATAGACCAGGCCTCAGAATTTGTGCCTGGGTTGGCTGGCACAATCTGGTTGGGTCCATGAAGTCTGCCCTTCAAGTCACTCTTCTATGGGGAGTGACCCCTCACTGGTCAGGGACCCTTGGCTGTTTCTGAGCCTCCAAAGTCTAAGAAAGCCATACCTGAACTATAGAAACTTAATAAAAAGACAAAGACAGACAAAATTAACTGATTTTTCCAGTCCTCACTGGCAAAACCCCTTCCTGGGCAGTTACTCCAGCTGCGAGTTTGCTGTGTCTTCTCTCCTGAGGCCCAGGTCTCTGGCAGCTTCTCCATGTGTTTTGATTTCGTCGGGGCCTCTACGTTGTGGTGGGGCGACCTCGGGTCCACTCACCTGCGCTTGCTTCCTTGTGGCATCCCCACTATTCCCGGTTGCAGTCTCTCTGCCAGGCCGGTCCTCCGAAGTCTAGTGCCCCCGACCCCTTGCGGCACGAATCACTTCCAGCCTTTTTAAGAGTTTTTCGCAGGGTTAGGTTGGGGCCAAGGGGGCCAGGTTAGAAGACTGAGGTCCTAGCTAGGATCAGGGATCCTAGCACAGTCAGCCCTGATCCCTCTCTTCGGAACTTTGCAAATCCCCAACCAAAGGGAAACGGGAAAAGCAATTTTATCGCCCATGAGTTTATGAGCCCGAGCGGCGGCTAGGCGGGCAGTCGGCGACAGAGTTTGGCGAAATGGGCTCAGCTGGAGCATACACCGGCGGTGCCCCGCAGCCCTGGTCTGGTGGGTAATTCCGCCTGTAGAAATACCCCTCCCTGGTTTTCACCGGCTGCAGTCCCGCCTCGGCCCGGGGTGGAGAGGTGGGGGCGCAGGAGGAGGGGCACACGGGGCTCAGGCCCAGCGCCGGGGGCGGGTCCGAGGCTGGGGGCCCGGATCAGGAGCCGAGCGCGGGGGCCCAGGCGGCTGCGGAGACTAACACCGAGCGCGACCGGCAGCAGGACCATCACAACAGCCCGCTGGCCATGAACTCGGGACGCGAGCAACGGACACCCCGGACACCCTTCAGCATCACAGACATCCTAGGCCCGCGCATGGTCCCCCGAGCACCCTCTGCGCCCCAGCTTCCTGAGTCGGGTCCTAGTCCCTCGTCGCCGCTGTGCGCACTGGAGGAGCTGACAAGTAAAACTTTCCGCGGACTTGACGGGCGCGCTCTGCAGCCCTCCGAAGGTATAGCACGGCTAAAGTCGAGGACTCTGACTTGGCCTTCTCCCCACCTTTCTCCTCCTGGTTCCCCGTCTCAAACCTTCGTCCCGACTCGGCCCGGCCACGCTAATCCGCCCCCTGCCCTCAGCCCACGTGCCAGGACTCGTATCTGTGGCCCCTCACGTCTCTGTTAGTGCCCCAGCTCCGCAGCGGTTCCCAGAGGTCGCCAGCGCTGTGGGGAAGGGCCGTGCTGTTGAGAATTGAGCGACCTGTAGGTCTGCTCGCTGTAGGTGGGGCAATTGCCACAAAGGCTGAGAAAAGGAGACAAAAGGCTTGAGCCTCAGGCCGTAACGAATGAGCCAGAGCAGTGGCAGCGCAGAAAGCACTAGGAGGCGAGGCTCGGGTCTTTCTGGGCGACCAACCTCTGCTCCCAGCCACTCTCTTCTCCAGGAGGCATAGGGAGCAAAACGTCCTTGGCGGCCGATGGCTCACTTCTGTAATCCTAGCATTTTGGGAGGCCGAGACGGGAAGATTGCTTGAGGTCAGGAATTCGAGACTAGCCTGAGCAAGACAGAACCTGTCCCCACTAAAAACAGAAAAAATTAGCCGGCCTGGTGGTGCGCACCTGTAGTCCCAGCTACTGGGGAAGCTGAGGCAGGAGGATCGCTTGAGCCCAGGAGTTTGAGGTTGCTGTGAGCTAGGCTAACGCCACGGCACTCTAGCCCGGACAACAGAGCGAAATATTTGTCTCAAAAAAAAAAAAAGAAAAGAAAGAAAAGAAAAGAAAAAAAAAACTTTGGCGTAGGTTAGATGCGGGACTCCACGCTCCACCTTTCCTTACTCTATATACCAACACTATCTCCCTTCTGAGCTCGAGGAGTCAACAGGGAAGTGTAAACCGAGTGCCCAACACGATCCACGATCTAAGGAAGGGCATGATCCAAGTCCTGTTACCTCACCATGCGGGGTCGCTGTCTCTATTCTTACGCCGTCTAACGCCACCCGCAGCCTGCAAGCCCTCTCAGCCTGGGGCTCCGAAAGGCCTCAAAGGCCCCGCCCCAGACGGCCTGACCCTGTACCAAGTCTCCTCTGGCCTGTCCCACCCTTCTCTCACTCCTTTGCCTCCGCAACACGCCCTCAGCCTACTGCCTCCAGTACCTCAGCAGCCTGCCCCGCTTTGCGCCCCCTACCTTTACCTCAGCTTGACCCCCGAGCGCCTCGGTAAAGGATCACAGTTCTGGTCCCAGTTCGCCTTCCTGGCTCCCTCCCTTACCCGCCCGCAACCAGCCTGAGCCCACCCCCAGCTCTTCCTCCTAGGCCACCTCCTGATTCCGGTGGGCTGGAGGCTGACCCCCGCCCTATCCCCGCAGGCCCGGCAGCCGCGGACGCGCTGGGCCCTGGCCCTGCCGGCCGCAAACGGCGGAAGTCCCGCACGGCGTTCACCGCGCAGCAGGTGTTGGAGCTGGAGCGGCGCTTCGTCTTCCAGAAGTATTTGGCGCCATCCGAGCGCGACGGGCTGGCTACGCGACTCGGACTGGCCAACGCACAGGTCGTCACTTGGTTCCAGAACCGGCGCGCCAAACTCAAGCGCGACGTGGAGGAGATGCGCGCCGACGTCGCCTCGCTACGCGCGTTGTCCCCCGGAGTCCTGTGCAACCTGGCACTGCCCGACGGCGCTCCAGGCCTGAGCCTCTGCCCCGGCCTCGATCCCAGCCCCGCTGGACCTGACTCCAGGGTCCACCTGTCAGACGAGGAGATACAGGTGGATGATTGAAGACAAAGCCGCCGAAAACCCTGGGCTCCGGGTCCCGGACTCCTCTCTTCCCGGGTCTGCGTTTTATCCGGGTTCCAAGGCGGAGGGAGGCGCTCCATTCAGGCCTCTGCCGGCCTGCAGTTCAGATGCTCACCTTTCCCCGTTGTTAAGAATAAAATTGAGACTCCGCCGCACTGCGCCCGGGTCTGGACGCCCGCCGGAAGCCAGTAACAGCAAAATCTGTGGATTGTTGCCGAGATTCCGGGCTTTGCGCTGTGCGCAGTGTTTTAAATGCTGTGCTTCCTTTAATCCTCATAGCAATTCTATAAGGTAGGTGATAATTATGCCCATTTTACAAAGGAAGGACCCAGAGGTCAGGATTTGGATCTAGTATCCAGCCAGCCTGCAGAGCCGGTGCTTGTAAACCTACTGCTCAGGACACAACTGGCCCAGAGGTGTCCGGCCTACTTACTGGATGCCTTTAGTTGCTGGACTCCACCCGGCCTCTGATTAGCCACCGCCTGGGAGACCTCGCTTCTAACCTCTAGGCCGGCCCAGCGTGACGACAATGGTGCCTGAGTCTTTATGCTTTCCTCACCCTTAGGTCATTTGTTACTGGAGTCTCTACACTTCTCCCGGCCCTGCCAAAAGAACCCTGTGCTGAGACACAGGCAAAGTGATGGACGCCCAGAGAGGGCACATGTCTATCTCCCAGACCTCCACCAGGCTCCTGGACCGGAAATGTTCCCGCCAGGGCAGTGACAGCAGGGGGAGGGAGGTAAGGCCTGGCCCCCTGAGGTGATGCTTGGAGTAGCAGGCTTACCCAGTAGCGACCCTAGCCTAGCTCCTCCTGGGGACATTTCTGACATTCATTTATCCTGCTGCCGATTAATCACCCTCCTGCAGGCCCTCCGCATTCCTGGCCATCCCAGCCAATCTGCAGGAGACCAAGCTTCGCATCTTTTGGGCTTCCCTTCCCTCCTTGTCAGTCCTCAGACCCTCTGGCTGTCCTCAGACCTTCCTCTGCCTGTGCCCAGGGATAACAACTCCACTTTCAAGGATGCTCCAGGGGTTCAAGAGGGGTCAGCTAGGGCCACAGTTGCAGATGGAGGGCCCAGGAAAGGATATTCCAGGGACTGTGAACAAGGCTGGAAGCGGAAGGGAACCTGGCGTTTTCAGACAATAACTACCACTAACTGAGGAGTTCCAAGTGCTTTGTGTGGATTAATCCTCAGAATAACCCAATGGGACATACTTTTATTCTTATTTTAAGGACAAGGAGACTGAATCACAGAAGCCTGAGGGAACTTGGCCACGTCATGTGGTTTGTAAGTCATGGGGCAGGGACTCACCTGCTTGCTTGTCTGACTCAGGAGCCCATGCTTTTGGCCACTACAGGTACTGTCCCTGTGAAGGGGGCTGGGCCTAACTGAAAGAAGCAAAGGATTTATGGAGGAAGGAGAGGAGAAAGGGCCAAAGGGAGGAATTTAGGGATTGTACTGTAGACAGAGCATGGTCCTTGTAGAGGTTTTAGAAAGAAGAGGTGAGAGCAATGTTTAGGGCAGGCTAATCTGGCTGTGCATGCAGGCTGGGCCACAAACTGGCAGAGATCCGAGGAAGGGAGTTTATCTGTGGCCGCTGCAAAAGAGCAGAGAGAATTCAGGGTCAGACTTGGGGATGGGGCAGGGAGGTGGTAACAGAAGAGTAATCAGTGTGATCCCCCAGTGTCTGAGGATTGCATAAGTCAGTGACAACCTAGCAAACCTGGACAACTGGAAGAAAAATAGCATCATGGACAGAAGTAGACAATGACCACTGGTATAGAACTAAGAATCTGTCAGCCATTATGTACAAAAAATACTCTTTACAACTGTATTGCCCCTTCAATACACTTACACAACACAAATGCCACCTCTGGCTCCTGTTGGGGGCCATCCCTTATTCCCTTCACACCTTTTATAGACTGCCTCTCTAGAACCTTTCCAGTAAGGGGATCAGCTCTTTCCTGTTTGCCCAGCACTTTCCCAGTTTTAGCACTGAAAGTTCCACACCCCAGGACATCCCTCAGTCCCAGGAAAACCAGGATGGTTGATCATGGTACTTTCCAGTCCTGGGGACTTGGAACTCAGGCAGTTGGGTCAGAACCCTATCCATTAGGAGTGGTGAGAGTGGGGCAGAGTAGAGGCAAGGTGTCAGGAGTCACGTGGCTCTTAGAGAAGATTCAAGTCCAGGATAGGCTAAGAGGTGCTGGGGAGGGAACATTTATTTGAGAAGATACAAGAGCAAGGAGCTAGCTCAGCCTAAAGAAAGAATTCCACACAGTAGTGGCCATTCTTTCAGGGGCCAGGAGCCCTAGGGAAGTCCCCAAAACACAGGTCCCCTCCCCCAAAGAACAGGAAGGCCAGTTGGGTAGCCCTCTTGTAGAGCCACTGTAATGTACTCATCCCTTAAACAAACATAACCACCTCTCCCCCAGCCCACTCCCCAACCAGGGATGAGCAAAGAACTCCCAGGGCAAATAATTTTACTTAGGAAGGTAGGCTCCAGTCAAGTTAATTGGCTCCGAACCATAATCCCCCTCCACTGAGGTTCCCTGAATTCTAGCCCAGCTAGCACTGCCACCTTTTGTACTCAAGCCTTGGATAACAAAACTCAAATCTGTCCCACCAAAATGGCCTCTAGATGGGTGTCTGCTCTGCTAGGCCCTAGAACAGTATCCATCAGGATCACCTTGGGAACTTATTAAAACACAAATTGCTGGCCCCACTCCCACAGTTTTTGACTGGGAAGGGCTGGGGTGTGGCCTGAGAATTTGCATTTATAACAAGTTCCTGGGTGATGCTGATGTTGCTACTCTGGAGACCACCCTTGAAAACAAGTCCCAGGAACTCTGGATTTTGTGAATTTAAGCAGCAGTTTACTCATACTCCTCTCTTCCCACTATGGGAAGCATGAATATGTAGGACAGTTGCAAATAAAAATTGGTTTATTTAGCACTCACTATGTACCAGGCACTTAATAGGCATTTCCTCTTTCTCTTCCAATCCTCACAACAGCCCTGTGAGGTAGGGATTACCCCCATTTTTACAGATGAAGGAACTGAGGCTTACATGTTGACAGACCTGTCCAGGGTGATCCAGTTAATAATGGCAGACTTCATCCTGTTATGCAGTATTTAAGGGGCCTAAACCATAAACAATAAAAACATTTGGGAAAGTCCTATATAAAAGAGATGTTTCAACACCTCCTATCTCTAGGTGTGAATAGTATTGAGCAGGACCCACAGGGCAGCTAGATGAATGGTTCATCCGTGAACAGCATGGAAGGGGGCTAAAGGTCCCCTGCAGATCCACACTTAAATGGGCTGAGAATCCCAGGCAGGACTAGGGAGGAACCAGCCAGGGGGAGCCGCCAGGATCTTAGAAGAGAAATCAAAAGATCATGATTCTTACCTAGGAAGTAGAGAATTATAGCCTCCTTTGGGGCAGTGACCCTTGCTGGAAAAACTAAGTCAATTCACATGGGGAAAGGCTGATTACAATGCCCAGTGCTGGGGTGGAGAAAGAGAGTGGCCAAGGTGGCGGCAGCCTGGGTGCCTGCCGAGGCCCCATTCCGCGGGAGAGCCAGTGGTTGAGAGTGTGGAGAAGTGGCCCTGCCAGCTACAGGCAGGAGCAAACCCTGGAGCATTCACCCAAATGCAAACCCTTGGTGAATCCTCTAGCAGTGGGAGGGGGTGACCATCAGACCACTGGACAAAGGAGAGGTCAGAGTGTGCACAGCAAAGTGGACAGGAAACAGGGCAGGAGGAGCAAGCTGGGCACTGTGTCTAGAGAAAACAGGGCAAGAACGGGGCTCAGGAAGAGGTGAGCATCCATCAAGCTGAAAGTGGGGATGCAGGCCTCCACTGCCGTGATGCCATTCCAGAGCACAGAGCTCTAGCTGTGAATGAGTCCTCAAGGGCCAAAAGGCAGAGCAAGTCCCAGGTGCCTTCCCGCTGGCTCTGCTATCGTCTAAAAACCTGGACTTCTATAGTTCCCTTCTTGAGCTTTGGCGGATTTTATTTTTCCCTTACTGCCTGCAGAAGAAGCCACCTCCTTGAGAACCAAAGAAAGGGTGTTTCAGTGGATGTGGGGCTCCTTCCTCTCCAAGAAGTTTCTCCGTGGCAAGAGGAATGACTGCCAGGGGTGTCCTCAGCTATAGATTTGGAGGACAAGGTCTCAAAATATGCAGTGAACTGTCACCACACAGTGTTCCCATCCCTTTGGGATGTACACATGGCCTTGCCCTGCGAGGGACAGATCCTCCCTCATCCGGCCTGAGGTAGATGCTGGGGCCCAAGTCCCAGGATGGCCCAGCCCCTTGAAGGGTCCTGGAGATGGAGAGGCAGGGTCTTCTACTGTGAGTCTGGGAGAGGGGCCCTTTGGGGTGGCTCAGGTAACATGGGAGATAATGCAAGGGTGGAGACAGATGGCCAGGGACCCCTGGAGCAGTGCTTGGAGGGCAACTTAGAGGGAGCAGGCCTGAGGCTCCCAGCTCGGCATGGGAAAGTGGCTGGGGGACCCCAGTCGTTAGAGGTGGTGCACAGATTCCTCCTCGCTGATCCTGCTGAGAAGGGAGAGAGGGGGCACCTGATGCTCCTTTTAAGCAGCACCACCCAGGCCCCTTATCCCACCCGTTCCTGCCCTGCTACCCTTCCAAGGCAGAAGGTAGCGCTGCTTAGCACTACAGTCCCAGCCCGCTCTCCCTGATGCCCTTAGCAGGAGAGGGGCCTGGCTCCCTTACCAGAGTGAGCTGGAGGAGGCATGAGTGGAGCTCCTGGGCTGCGTCAGGCTGGGGCCCACCTCTCAGCGTCTCCTGGAACACAGCAGCTGCCTCCTCAAAGCGCTTTGGTTCCAGAGGAATTAGAGAGAGGAAAGAGTAGGTGTCAGGGAGGTAAAGAAGCTTAAAACTTCACCCTTTCCCAAACTGGCCCTGCTCCTGTACCACTACCATTGTGACGCTGTGGTACTAGGAGCTCATCCAGAAAATGCCAGTGCAGACCCACTCCCCACCCCATCCCACCCAAATCTCTCCTCTGTTTCCAGCCTCAGACCCATTACCTGTAGTCCCATCAAGGCCTTTCCCAGGCGAAAGAGGCCCCGGGGCCAGCCGGGCCTTAGGGTAAGGGCCACCTGGGCATCGGCCAGGGCCCATACTGGCTGACCCAGACGCTCGTGGCAGAAGGAACGATTTCCAAATAACCTGATAAAGATAGAAGGTGGCCAAAGGTCAGGGTCCTCAACACCCTGCCTTGCCCTGACCTTTCAGCACAGTGGCCAAAGCCCCACCTACCGGTGGTCCTGAGGATTGAGCTTCAAGGCCTGGGTGAAGAGGACCACAGCCTCCTGGTAGAAACCATTTTGAGCAAAGCTGGTACCCAACTCTGAAAGAAGAGCCAGGTGGGAAGGTTCAGATGGGGCTACCCCAGGGAGGGTGGGGTAAGGAGGGAGAGAGAAAGGATCTCACTTGCCAGTTCCTGGCTCTGCTGCAAGGCAGCCGCTGGCAGTCCTGGAGATGCCTAGGGTGGAGAGCAGAGTCAAGCAGGCTTCGAGGCCTCAGCTTTCCCAAATCCTTCTCATTTATTCAAACAGATAACACTGCAATTAACATCACCCAACTCGTGCAATTCTCACAGCAGCCCTGCAGGATGGTATCAGCCCTGTCTTCCTAGAGAGGAAACTATCGAGGGTCATGGTGAAGTGGTGTAACCTGACCCCAGGTCTCTTGACCCTAGGGCCAGAAAACTCCTACTGGACACACCCCTCAACCCTTAGATCATGTGCCTTCCCAGTGCCTTCTGATGCTTCTTCCACTGGTTCTAGCTGAACCAGGTTCTTCTGCCTCCCTCACCTGTGGCTTAGGACTCTGCACGGGCCTCTCCTCTCTTGGAAGGCTCCCTTCCTCTTGATCTGTCTTCTCCTGGGGGCCTGGGCCCCTGCCTTGGGGCTTCTGGCTTAGACCCTTCTCTCTGCGGGTACTGGGAGGCCAATCCCCAACCTTGCGTAAAGCCAGAGACACGAAAGTGCTAGATAGATCCAGTGAGTCCTGTGGGCAAAAGGGAAAGTTAGGGCAGGAGTGGGGTGAAGTACATCCTGGAGTAGGAGGAGGAGAGGGTGAGTAGAGACCAAGAAGGGAAGGAAGGGGGCTCTCACCTCTTCCTCACTACACTGTCCCGGAGCTGGGTTCCCGGGGCTGGATGGGGGGCTCTCATCCCCATCTGTGGTAGCCTTGGCCTGGAGGGAAGGTGGACAGGTACAGAGTTGGGATCACCATGAGCCGCCTTCTTAGCCCACCTTCCTGGTACTTGGTGCTCTTAGTACCTGCCTGTAGATACTCACCTTGGGCTCCCCACAGTCCTGCTCCAAGCGTTCCTGTCGCTTTCGTTCCTTTTGACGCTGCAATAATGATGACGATGATGTATTTTGAGCACTTACTATATGCCATGTTCTTGGGTAAGAGTTTTGCATGTGCTATCTCATTTAACCCCTGCAGCTCTATGAGTTAGGCATTCTTATTAACATCCTCATTTTACAAGCAAAAAAGCAGACAAGAGAGGCACCAGCCAGAGACCTCACAGTAAGAAGGTGGCAGATTCCAACCCAGGAATCCAGAAGGATTCCAGAATCACTGGCCCAGATGGTCTTGAGAGAACCCTGAGTCCCTGAGCCCCTTGGGCCCTCGTGGCAAGAGGATCCACTGCAGGCCACCTTGAGCACTCTCCTGTTCTCACAAAGCTTCCTCTTTCCCTCCCCCACATCCCCCTGGGCTCCCTTCCCTCCACCCTCCAGCCACCTTCTTCTTGAGTCGTTTCTTCTCTGATTTCTGTTTCATGCGCTCCTCCTCAGCCACCAGCTCCTCTGCCAGGCGGTTGGCTTCCTGGAGGAGGAAAGGTGGGTGACAGGAAAAGGGAAAGAGAGACAGGGAGAATGAGAGCAAACACAAAAAGGGGTAAGCATTATAGAAGGATCTTGAAAGGCACAGGTTAGGGGGGAATGTAAACATGGGCATATGGGAACTGAAAGAACCTGGGGGACCATGAAGCTCATTCCTGAGAGTCTCACCTCTTCAGTCACCAGGAGCTTCTGGGGCAGGGCCATCTGAAGCAGGCTGTCTGAGACACGGGTGCACGCTGAGGCAGAGGGGCTTTGACGGCAGGGCTCAGGCCCTTGCGGAGGGTATAGGAAGGACTTGTGGAAACCACAGTAGGTGCCCAGGCCATCAGCCCCCTTGCCCCTGTCACTCTGTCCAGTTGTTTTCCCCTCATCACTGAAATGGTCCAGGAGGTAATCTGTCAGGAGGCAAAAAGAGACAAGAAAGAAAAAGGAACATGAGAGAGAGGAGCATCTGAGGGTCAGCCCCTCCCAGGGTACCCAGCCTCAATCCCTGGGCCCAGCCCCGGCACTCCCCACCATGGTGCCACAGCTGCAGCTGCCCGCTGCTCCCATCCACATGGATCCGGTGCAGGCCCTGGGGATCACTCTCCACAAGCCGCTGAAGAAAATCCTCTATGTCCTGGGAGGGGGAGGGGAGGGGAGGCTGGTGTTGGGGGGCACTCTGGGAGAGAGCAAGGGCTTGGCCGGCTTAACCTCTCCACCATGGCAGCCACAAACCAGCCACTTAGGCCATAGACTCTCACCGGCTCTGACCTCTCCCTGCTCAGCACCGCAAAATGTGCTGCCCCCAGCTTCTATGGTATATCACCTCCCTTCAGTGCTCTTCCGCCTTCCCGAGGGTTGAGGGTGCCTTTCAGCCTAGCCTTCTCCACCATCCAGATCTTCACCCCTTGACCTGCCACTAAGTCAGCCACACTGAGGCCCCTGGAATGGAGCCCTCTTACCTGCTCTTCCAGTTAGGCCCTGTATAACCCACCCTGAAGGTACCTCACACCTAAATAAGTACAGCAGCTCCTGGCTGGCCTCTTCCCTGCACTATGTCTGTTTTTCCCTAAAACCAAGCTCTCAGAAATTACTACTTTATTCAAAAACTTCCAGTAATCCCCCAGTGCCAGGGCCATGTGCAGGGCAGAATCTAGCTCCTCAGCCTAGGATTTGGAGCCTTCCAAAAAGCTCCCTGGCTGATGTTTCCAACCCTCCCTTGCAATCCTCCTCTGATTAGCTGCCATCCTCCCTCTGCCACCAGACTCCCTCCAGCCTTGGGGCCTTCCCCCCACTGTCCTCCAATCCCTCTGGGCTCTGCACCTCTGTCTCACCACATCTTGTCTCATCTTCAAGGTCCATCTCAAATTCCATCTCCCCTCAAGGCCTTCCAAGACCTTTTCATCTTCAATTATCTCTGCCTCCTCTCAACCAAGCAGTAGCCACAGAGTCTGTGTTATACAATTTAGAACCTTACTATTCATTGCTTCTTATTGTTCTCCTAATTGGCAAGTCAGCATGGAGCTGGAAAGTGCACAGTGCTGGAGTGGAGCCACTTGCATCTGAGTTTTGACTCTGCCACTGCCTGGCTGTTTGATTTTGGACAAGTCATTTAACCTCTTTGGACCTCATGCTCATTCAAAAAATGAGGCAAGACCCTTAAAGCCTGGCCCACACGTTCTTTGGTTGTGATGAGAGTCATTTCCTCAGTGAGTATAAGCTTTGGAGGATAGGAATGATCACGTCCCTGTGCGGCCTAATCAGGCCTAAACAGAGCAGGACTGACTGAGAAATTTTAGAAACCAATCAACTTTTGGACTTGTTGAGTTAGAAACCACAAACTTAGAAATTCCAAGGTGCCAAAATAATGTGTAGGTAGGACTTCAGATTAGCGAAAAATATACTCAACTTTCTAAACAATTTTAGATCCAGGGCTCCCCTCAGGAGTAGTCCTGACTCAACAGCATCTTCATTTACACTGCTGGGCACTTTCATCAGTCTTATTCTTAAATTCAATTTCTGTTGAGTTTGTTTCAACTTCCCTAAGCATAAATTGTGCATGCTCTGGGCCCCATCTTAGGCAGCCTCTCAGGATGTGCCGCTCAAATATATACTGTCTTTCCTTTATCTTCAACTTCTCTCCTCTACTCAGACCAGTCCAGCCATCTTAGGGAAAAGAAAAAAAGACTTTCTTGACCTTCTGCTACCCCTCCCCAAAACACAGTCTATGCTGCTCTCTCAGTTCACTACATGGCCAAACATGATCCGGTCCCCTAATATCTTCGTGAATTTTCTCCCACCTTCTCGTCACCCTTCTCCAGCCACAGTGGTGTCCTTTCAAGTTCCTACAACATACCAAATGTGCTCTCATCTCAGGGCTTCTGCACTTGTCATTTCCTCTTCCTGGAATGCACCTTCCCCAGTGACAGGCTCACTCCTTTGTCCCTTTTAGATCGCTGCTTAAATATCACTTTCTCAGGGAGGCCTTCTCTCTGACCACTCCTTTTATTTTTTTTTTTTGTTTTTTTTTGAGACAGAGTCTCACTCTTTTGCCTGGGCTAGAGTGAGTGCCATGGCATTGGCCTAGCTCACAGCAACCTCAAACTCCTGGGCTCAAGTGATCCTACTGCCTCAGCCTCCCGAGTAGCTGGGACTACAGGCATGCGCCACCATGCCCGGCTAATTTTTTCTCTACATATTTTTAGTTGTCCAATTAATTTCTTTCTATTTTTAGTAGAGACGGGGTCTCGCTCTTGCTCAGGCTGGTTTTGAACTACTGAGCTCAAACAATCCGCCCGCCTCGGCCTCCCAGAGTGCTAGGATTACAGGCGTGAGCCACCGTGCCCGGCCTGACCACTCCTTTTAAAAGGAGAAACCTCCCAACTCCATTCAGCACTCCCTCTTATCCTTCTTGCTTTTCCTGGCACTTCTCATATTTGACATACTATATTGTTTATTTTTTTTTGACTGGCTGCCCCCACTAGATATTTCTAATTCATTGAATAGAAGAATTTTTGCCTGTTTGGTTTACTGCTCCCTTTCTAGTGCCTACAAGTGTCTGGTACACAGTTGGTGCTCAATAAGTGTGTCTGGAGTGAACAATGAGATTGGTGAGAATGCTATTGTAGTAGAGACAGAGCCAGGAACTGTGTTTGAAGAACCTCGTGTGACCTAGTGAGTGTGGACTTTATCTTTTTTTTTTTTTTTTTTTTTAAGAGAAAAGGTCTCTCTCACCCTGTTGCCCAGGCTGAAGTACAGTGGCATGACCATAGCTCACTGTAACCTTGAATCCCTGGGCTCAAGCAATCTTCCTTCCTTAGTTTCCTGAGTAGCTGGGACTATAAGCATGTGCCACCACACCTGGCTGATTTTTGCTATGTTGTCCAGGCTGGTCTCAAATTCCTGGGCTCAAGCAATCCTCCTGCCTCGGTCCCCCAAAGTGTTTGGAATACAGGCGTAAGCCACTGCACCTGGCCTGAGTGTGGACTTTATCTTGTCAGTGATGGCAGTGAAACGCTCATATGAAATAGTGCTGAGGAAAGAGATGAGTCTTAGATGGAATGTTCAGTTAGCAGGCTATTACAACTGTTCAGGACAGTGGCATTCCTTGAACTAAGGGAGTGGCAGCAGGAGCAGGAATGGAAATGAGGGGTTTCCATCAAAAGACATTTCAGAAGTTGATTTTAGGGGGCGCGGTGGCTCACGCCTGTAATCCTAGCTCTCTGGG